GGCATGGCTTCATGGTGGACAGAGGAATCACTTTGCACGTCTGGGGGAAGTAGAGTGAAAGCTCCCTACAGCTGAGGGGTACAGGGGCTTGGCCACACAGCTGGGTAACACTGGGTCAGGGTTGGGCACAGACCCCAGGCCATCTCCCCTTGGAGCGTCACAGAGAGCAGCTGGCTCATGCAAGAGTGCTCTGTGCAGGGTCAGGAACCGCCACTCACAGCCACAGTTTCCCGTTCTTTTCTCTGGAGCTGCCTGTATACCAGGACAGCAGGAATTGCCCCTCCGTGGGAGGCTTTGAGAGCATCGGAGATGAGCACAGCAGAGCTGGGGGAGCGCTGGGGTGGGGGGGGGGGGAGACGTCTGAGAAACATGAGCCTGGCTCCAGACTGAAAGCCACTCAAAATAGTTGTGGCATCGATCGGGAAATCTTAGGAGAGATGTTTTAATGCATCAGTCTGTCTACCTAGAAGAAACAGCTCTGGGCGGCCTGGCTGTTTGATCATGACACAGAACCAGTGACGGGGCGCTCTTGGCACCAGAGAGCTCTGGAGAGGGGATTTCCCCATGCATGTCACCAGCCGAGGTCTCTGGCTGCAGGGTTTTGCTGGACTGTCCCCTAAACGGGGATCAGGGGCTGCAAGGAGGGGTCACGAGAATTCCAGTTTTGTTTCAAATCTCATTTCACAGTTCAGTGCTGAAAGACAAGTGTGTTGCTCCAAGTTTCAACATTTTCTCCTTCATGTTTTTTTTTTGTTTGTTTTTGAGTCACACCCAGTGCTGCTCAGGGGTTACTCCTGGCTCTTCACTCAGGAATCTCGCTGGTGGTTCTCGGGAACCATACGGGATGCCAGGGATGGAATCCTGTGGGCTATGTGCAGGGCAAGCGCCCTCTTTGCTATGCTATCACTCCTGTTCCTCTTTTCCATGATTAGGCTTTTCAAACTGTACGGTTAGGAACTGGGGTAAGACGTGTGCGGGGGTTGCCCAGCTGACTGGCGACTGCCGAGAGTGACCCCAGTCCTCATGACTACTAGCCAGTTCCCAGCTCTGGGCAGGCGCCTTCTTGCTGACTCGCTTGCTGCTCTGGAGAGCAGCTGTTGGCCACTGCGGCCTCTGTTCCATCCGGCTTTGTTCTACTTTCTGGGCAATCTCCCGGCTTACCATGCAGTGCTGCTGTTGAAAGGCTTGTGTTACTTCTACTTTTAATTTCTAAGCAATCCATCTTATTCTCTGAATGGTCTTTTAAAAAAACATCCTACACGCTTGTGTGTGTGTGTGTGTGTGTGTGTGTGTGTGTGTGTGTGTGTATGTTAGGGTTGGGGACACTTTGTTATTTCTTAGCTCAGTGTTTCTTTGGAAAAGGTTTAAGGTTCAAATGTACCCTGTGAGCTCTGTGCCCTGCGTCGGAGGGGTGATTGTGGCCTTTCCTGGGGGACTGCACTGAGCAGGTGGCAGGATCAGAACTTTTGACAATCAGTTCCCATTAGGCAGGACTTTGCTGGGGCAGTGGAATGCTCTGGGGAGTCCCTGCACTGTCTTAAGTCTGCAAGCCCAGGCCTGATAGTGGTGCCTGGAGAGAATCCTCTGCCCCCACGCCTCTCAGGGCTCTCCCTCTACTCAGGGTGTGGTGGTTAATGCGTGAATTAGTGATGTGGAGAGCCTCGCAGCTCCCTGACCTCAGTTTAAATCCCCAACTCCAGGGTCACTCTTGAACACAGAGCACAGTCGCAGGAGCACTGCGGGACCTGGACCCTCCCCCTCTGCGAGCGGCAGACTCACAAGCATAAGACCCCAGGTGACCCCGCCCCCCAGAGCCACACACTTGAGGAGGGAGTGATTCCGGTGTCTTTTTCTGCGCCCCTCTCCTGCACCTGGCATAGCCTGGAGTGCATGATTCTGAGCACTGCAGTGGGCGCAAGTACATCAGTCAGTGTGGACCCTGACACAGGCCCCTCAGCTCCAGATGTGTCGGCAGGGCCACCGAAAGGAAGTCTGGGACAGCAAAGGGAAGGGGACGGGGAGCTGCATTGGTATCGACCAAGGAAGCTTCCACCCCAGCCTGTCACCAGAGCGACCTCTGAGCACTGCCTGTTTCTGCACAGAGCATGGCAACAAGTCCTCACCATGTTTCCATCCAGGGCTACGGGCAGCCACTCAGCCGGTTCCTCTCACTCCCTGCAAGTGAAGGGCAAGAAAGTGTGGCCAGCTCTTGCGCATGCATATGATAGACCTGCACACTAGAGCACTGCCATTGGACACATGCTAGAACACCGCCACTGGACACACGCTAGAGCATCACCATTGGACACACACTAGAGCACCGCCTTTGGACACACATGCTAGAGCACCACCACCATTGGACACATGCTAGGGCACTGCCATTGGACACACATTAGAGCACTGCCCAGCTGCTCTCGGGGCAGCTGTGGGACCACACCAAATGGTGCTGAGGGATGTTCCTGGTGTTATGTTCCGGGACGGGACTTTCGCTCGCACATTGACCAGACTAGATGCGAGGCTACAAATGCAAAGACCCTTTATCGCTAGCTCCAGCTAAGGTCCAAGTTTCATCCAACGCAGGGGAGTCTTGACAAGGACCCCAACTCCAAATTCTGGGCAGTTTATATAGGGTTTGGTTACATAACAGCATTTTTTTCCTAAGAACTGGCAATATTTTTCCAATTCTGGTCCCTGTCCGGTCCCATGACTCCACTCCCTCAACCCTCTCTGCTTGGCTGGGCACTACTGCCCATGCCCCCTACTCTGATAGGCTGCTGCCACGAGGTGGTTTATCTGCCCAGGGTGATATTGTTTTCAGAGAAGTCGGGACTTTCTGATAGGGGAAACCAAGACTTAGGCCTGCTGGGTTTTGGTCTTAAATTGGAACCTGTCATGGCTCCACTTCAGCCTCACTGGGGACCATACCCAATGCTGAGGGATGCTCCGGAGACCATACCCAATGGTGCTTGACGGATGCTCCTGGGACTATACCCAGTGGTGCTCGAGGGATGTTCTTGGCTCATTTCTCGGGATTGCTCTTGGCTGTGCTTAGGGAGACCATGTGGTGGCAGATCAAACCCAGGTCTCCTGTATGCAAGGCATGTGCTCCAGCCTCTGGTCCTTTCTCCCCAGATCAGAATACTGCTCAGCTTGGAAAAAGGAGTTGAGTCCTGTGGGCTGGAGAACTGGCTTTGCGTGTAGGAGCTCCGGGCTCTGTCCTGGCACAGCAGAGGTTCCTGAGCACTGAGCCAGGGGCAGCTCCAGAGAGCACCAACTGTAGCCCCAACTCTGCAACAACAACAACAAAAAACAGCTGAAAACATGAAATATAACCATTTCTACAGCATGGTGTTTTCTTCTCTCCCTTTGACCTTGTTTATCAAGTGATTGGACCAGGGTTTTAGAAGTGAGTGGATAGGAATGTTCAATTTCCAGCAAGAAACTTGACCTCCTAATAAGCTTTAATGAATTATCTGTCAGAGAAAGAGCTGAGCTGAGAACTTTATATAATTAAGCAAAATTGGAGGCTATAGCATTCCATTAGATTCTAAAGAGAAAGTGTTAAGAATGCAGTACTTAGAATTCATAGGTGTTTCAAGAGGTGCCACCTACTTTTTTTAAAAAAAAATAATTTTGAGTTTCAAGGTTTTGAATGCAATTTTGTTTCTAGTCTGTGTGATAGATTACCATATTTCTTGTTTAGGTTCCTCCAATTTCCCAAATTTCTGGAAATACACATATTGTGAGCATATCAGTTTCAGACTAACTATTTTATATATAGCACAGCGGGTAGGGCGTTTGCCTTGCACGCACCTGACCCAGGTTCAATTCCTCTGTCCCTCTCGGAGAGCCCGGCAAGCTACCAAGAGTATCCCGCCCGCACAGCAGAGCCTGGCAAACTCCTGGTGGCGTATTCGATATGCCAAACACAGTAAAAACCAAGTCTTACAATGGAGATGTTACTGGGCCCACTCAAACAAATTCATGAACAACGAGGGGACAGTATTGAGAGGGACGGAGGAATCGAACTTGGTTTGGCAAGGTCGACCACATGCAAGGCAAACGCCCTACCCGCTGTGCCATCACTCCAGCCCATACCCATACATACATACATACACACACACACACACACACACACACACACACACACACTGTGGCTGGGTCCCGGAGGTCTTCAGCTGCTGGTGGCTCTGCTCGGGGCAGGGAGGGAAACTCAACCCGCCCCCCTCCAAGGGGCCCCAGTGAGAACAGTCAGACACAGGGACAGGAGACTCTATGTTGTTCTCTTTCAGGAGCTTGGTTTTATAGTCTCTGGATCTTGGTCATTGATGGGGTTACATGGCAGTTGGTGGGTTTAACTGTCTAGCTACTGGAAGATGAGGGATCTGGGTGGAGGAGCCCAGTCCCGAACCAAGCAGGCCTGGAGATCTCAGCCCCGGGTCTCGTACACCTGGGTTCCTCTGCTGATTCCTTCATGTGTGAGTCTCGTCTGAGCATGTGGAGAGTGGTAGTATGGCTGTGGCTGGGTCCGGAGGTCTTCAGATATATATATATGTATATATATATATCTTTTATATATAAAATATATATATTTTAATATAGGCACCTGTTCAAAACTAATTTTTACTCATAATTTTTTCTTTTCCATGAAAAAAATTAAGTTATAGAAAATATAAGAAATAGAAAAAATGGGGCTGGAGCAATAGTACAGCAGTAGTATGTTTGCTTTGCATATGACTGACCTGGGTTTGGTCTGAATGGCCCCCAAGCCAGGAATGAGTCCTGAGCACAATGCCAGGAGTAAGGCTTGAGCACCACTGGGTGTGTCTCTCCCCCTCACCCCCCAAAAGAAAGAAATAGAATAAAATAGCCCATTTACCCCTTCTCCACCCCATTTAACGCATCCATCCAATGTACCCCTGGGGCCTCTGGTTCTGCATTTCCAGTGGGTCAGAACTGTCACCCTAGGCCCTCATGCCTGTATCTTTCTTCTTCTCTAGGACACTGGCGTTGGGAAATCGAGTATTGTGTGTCGGTTTGTCCAGGATCACTTTGACCACAATATCAGCCCGACCATTGGGTAAGTGCCTGCACGCTCTCCACTTTGTTCCTGCGGCTTCCAGCCCTTTGGCTGGCAGGCGGGCGGGAGCCCCAGTCTCCACTGCTAGACCTGGGTGGCCTCTGTGCTGTGCCTGCCCTCCCATCCCCTGTCCTCCCCCAGCAGCCGGAGCCATTTCCTTGATCTCCGGGAGCATTATTCTGCAAATCCTGCCAGCTTGATTTCTAGCTGGAAGCCCAGAACTGCAGCTCTAATCCCCGAAGGCTCAGCTTTCACTGGCCCTGCTAGCAAGCTGGAATGCTGGCTGCCTGGTGCAGGGCTGTCTCTGGGGCTGCGGCAGATCGATTTTCCTTTCTGGCTTAAGTGCATGTCAGCATTTCCATTCTTGTGCTGGGGGAGCGGAGAGGCGGGGGCCCTGGCGGCTGAGACCCTGACCTTGGAAAAGGGGAGCATTTCCGATCTCCTCACCGATTCTTAGGCTAGACCATTTTGTGCAGGCATTTGCCTTCTCTTCCTTTAGAATGTGCCCTCACTTTATTTTCTCCCCCAAAGATGCCATCGTGCAGAGAGTAAAGTCCTAAAACCCAAACTCAATGCCACCCGCTCTCCTTAGGAGGGAAATTACATTTCCTATATTTGGGGCACCCCAGAGGGCTGATGCGGACAGGGGTGCAACCTGCCTCTGCCAGGAAGTGTGGAGAATTCACAGCCAGCTTGTAAGAGCAGTTTGTTGGCAGACCCAGTGACTGGTGTAGGTGAGAAATAAATCCAACACATTTTGTAGTAAAAAAAAAAAAAAACCTTACACATGTTCTCAAAAATATGTGTCAAGGGTGTGAAGATTGTGCTGGCTGGCAGGTTCACTGCCTGCCTTCCATGAATGCTGGCAGAAGACAGGTGGCGCCAGGGTCAGACAAAGAGAAAGAGCTGGATCCAGAAGCTCCCAGGCCTGGGTTACTGCAGGGCAGGGCCAAGAAGCCTTTTTTCTGCCAAGGGCCATGTGGATATTTATAGCTTTACTCTCAGGTCGTGCAGACGGGGCTACGGGCAGCCTCCAAGAAGCGTCAGTGTCTGCCTCATCATCAGACAGGAGTCTGAGGATCAGACGGTCTCCACCTACAGGTGACACTCACGTGAAGTGGGTCACTGATAGGACAGGACCCTTGAAGCCAGGCATCACAGGGGAGTGTCTCTTGTCTCCCTTGTCTACATCCCATATCTGTCATGAGAGCCAGTGACTTAAAGGAACTTCCTGTTGTTGCTGGGCTGTGCAGATGGGGACTTCTCTGCCCCTGGCTGTGATGCTCCCTCCTACTTGGCGTGCTTGCCTGCCTCCAGGTGCTCAGATAGTCCCTGACTGTGGTGCTCGCACATCTTTGATGTTGCTGGACCACTGGGGCCCAGCTCTTTTCTCCTTGTGGTGTTTGTGCCTACCTGGTCGGGGGACCACTGGGAATCCCTGTCTGTCTTCCACGACTCACACTGACAAACCTTGGCTCTGAGATTCCAGCAGATTGTGGCAGCATCTTGAATGTGTGCGTGTGTGTCTCCCTTTGTATTTGAACTTTTCCAAGGGGATGGCATTTCTTCTCTGCCAGAGTTGGGCTCCCACAGAAAATGTTGTCAGTTCTGCATTGCTGTCACCCTCTGGAGGGTGATCTTGAGAGAAGAACCCCTGAGATTCTTCAGATGGAAAGCTTGCAGGGAGGCTGTGAAAATCCCTCCCCCCCCCCCCGCCCAAATATCCCAAAAGGCAGTGATTGTTGGTTGTTAGTTCGGTGATTTATGGTCTTTTTCCTAGTAGCAAGAAGTCAGGGGGGTGGACCAATGGTACAGCTGGGAGAGTACCTACATTGCATGCAGCCAGTCTGCATTCGATCCTCGGCATCCCATATGGTCCCCCGAGCACCCTGAGTGATTTCTGAGTGCAGAGCCAGCAGCAAATCCTGAGCACTTCTGGGTGTGACCCAAAACAAACAACAAAAAATAAGTCAGGAACAGTGGGGATGCATACATGTATGTGCACATGTGTGTGCACTGAAAAGGCATCATTGTGTCTGTGTTTTTATATGGCACATGTGTGGGTATGTGTATGACGGTAAGAAGAAACACTTTGCATTGGCACTGTTTTGGAAGCTGGCCCTGGTCTACTTGTATCAGGAAAATCTCTTCCTTTGTCTTTGTTGCCTGCAGGTCTTGCCCAGCAAGACTGGTCCTGATTCTGGGACCAGGAATCAGAGGGTCTTTGCATGTGCTCTGTCACCCCAGGAGGCTATGAGTCTCTGCTTTCTGTTCTCAGCTGTATCTTAACAGTTTGACCCGAGAAAAGGCTGTCCCTGCTATTCCATCCCTTACCTATAAAATGAAAGGGTTGTCCTAGATATTTGATGTCTCTTGAGTCTGTGATCTTTTGCATTTGAAGGCATGCATTTAGTATTCCAAGTGTGAGAATTTTTGAAAGACAGAGGGCTGGTGTAGTTACCCCAGTGCCTAGACTATATTGAGGAATGAATGAAACTCTGGCAAAGATTAAAGTTAAAGCAAAAAAAGAAAAGAAAAGAAGTAAGGGCTGGAGTGAAAATTTAAAGGTCTAGGGCTTGGCATACAGGAGCCCATGCTTGATCACTGCCAGATGTGGCTCCCTAATCAACTCCTAGCCAACCCTTCGCTAAAACCCCAGTAGGAACACAGAAAACAAAATATTGATATAGCAGTCTGCATAAAGTTTTAAGTTTAAGGGAAGGAGGTTTAAAAGAATAGGGCCAGGGTGGAGAGACAGCACAAGAGTAAGGCACTCTCATTGCATGTCACTGACCCAGGTTTGACCCCTAGCACCTCATTTGGTCCCTTGAGCACTGCCAGGAGTGATCCCTGAGTATGGCCAGGTGTTTCCCCAAAACAAACTAAAATAAACCCCTGGATACCACCAAGTATAACACCCCTAGCCCCCAAGCCTCCCCTTAAATAAATGACACTTGTGGAAAATTTTTTCATAAAATTAAAGGAAAGGGCTGGAGCGATAGCACAGCGGGTAGGGCGTCTGCCTTGCACGCAGCCAACATGGCCGACCCGAGTTCGATTCCTCCGCCCCTCTCGGAGAGCCCGGCAAGCTACCGAGAGTATTCGATATGCCAGACACAGTAACAACAAAGTCTCCAATGGAGACGTTACTGGGCCCGCTCGAGCAAAGGAAAGGTTTAAAAAATATTATTTTAATTATACCATTACAAAAGGTTTGTTTGAAGTACTGAAAATGTGAATATGAAAAAGATGAATGTCCAGGTGAAAAGATGGTGAAAAGTCACGAGCAAAAGGTTTATAAACACACACACACACACACACACACACACACACACACACAAAACACAGAGCGGTCACTCAGTGAACTGATTTGTTTGTTCTGGGGGGCCTCAAGGGCTGTGCTCAGGGCTTCCTCCTGGCTGTGCTTGTTGGACATTATGGAGTGCAGGGGATCGAGCCCAGGCTGGATGCCCACAAGACAAGTGTTCTCGCCTCTGTACCATCATTCTGCCCCCACACTCAGTGGCTGCTTCGTGTGCGTGAGGCTCAGGTCTGATCCCCAGCACTGTGTCCTTACAACTCCACAGGACTCTCAGAATGCTGCAGGGTTTACACACACCCTCCATACTTACAGGGGTTTATCATGTCCTGCTAACCCATGACTAGGGACAAGCTCATGAATAGGGGATGGGCGGGAGACTTGGGGTTTCCTGTACTGAGGTCTTGAAACTTCCAGAAGAACAAAGAACAAGCTTGTTAAGGACGCATTAAATGTGCAAGAAAGAATATATCAAGTGTTTTCTCATCTATTAAGAATTTCAAATCCTTCCTTTTGTAAAAAATCAAAAACACCATAAATGTTTAGTGAGCTGCCCGTCTTTATCCCCGCATTTTTGTTCAAGCAAAATGGGGATTTGCTTTTGTTGTTTTTTGGGCCATACTCTGTGATACTCAGGGGTTACTCCTGACTCTGTGCCCAGGAACCATTTCTGGCAGTGCTTGGGGGATTATATAAGGATGCCCGGAATCGAACCTAGGTTGGTCACGTGCAAGACAAACTCCTTTCCGCTATACTATCACTCCGGCCCCCAGGATGGGAATTTAATATCAAACTCTGCTAACACTGAACATAGCATAGTCACCTATGACCACGTAAAATAGTTTTCTATTTGTAAGGCCCAATAGCTTGCAAATAGAAAAGGCCCAAACAGTAACTTGCACAGGCACTAACTCCTCTCTTAACGTTTTGTTTTTGTTTTGGGGGTTTCGTCTGATAGTCAGAGACTCCTTCCAGGTGGTTACTCAGAGTCACCCCTGGTCAGACTTGAGGGATAGGAGCGGGGAATCACCAATGGCCAGGATCAAACCCAGCCTCCATGTGAAAATGGTATAAATAATACTTACATAGAAAGATGTGAGGGAGAGAAAGGGAGAAATAGATGTCCAATAGAAAACACCGGCTTCTCCAGGGTGGAAATAGGCCAGCAAAGAGACGAGGGACAAGCAAGCAAGATCCGTGTTCCAGGGCAAGCACGCGCTGGAGGTGAGCTAATATGCTTTTTAAGTGGAAGTCTTTCTCCCCCTCCCCTAAGATTCAGGCATATCGTGTTTGAACTGCTAAAGCCGAATGCTTCTGGAACAGTGTTTTGAATGCCTTCTTTCCTCCACTGTTTCAGTCAGGCTAACAGAAAATGCAGAATATTTCCTCTCAAATGACCTAGGGTTCTCCAAGGGCAAATGCTTCTGGAGGCCGGTGGCAGCGTAACGTAAACCTGTTTGAAACGAGAGTCTTTGTGAAGACTGTTAGGGGTAGTTGGTAATGTGAATGTTTTAATTCTCTTTTTCAGGGCATCTTTCATGACCAAAACTGTGCCTTGTGGAAATGAACTCCATAAGTTCCTCATCTGGGACACTGCCGGGCAGGAACGGGTAAGAATATGCCATTGTCAACTTTGGGGGGAAATTTTTAGGAAAAGTATTGAGATGAATTTCGGTAGGTTTCTTTGGCTTTGGCAAGACACTCTTGATTGCAAGCGACAGAAACTGAGCCTAAAATGACAGAATAGGAAATGTATTTCTTGTTTTGGAACCATCCGTGGTAGTGTACAATCCTGACTGCACAGCAGCGACCCATGGTTGTGTCAGGGACTCGGGGGGCGGTGAGGGGGGGGGGGACATGGACCTGGTTGGTCGCATGCAGGCAGGCGCCCTACCCACTGCCCTATCTTTCCTGCTCATGAAGCTTTCTTTAAGTTTTAAAATACGAAACAATGAATCCCAACAGATTATGCCCATGACAGGTACACTTTATAAAGTCAAAAGGGGCCGCAGGGAAGTCAAAATAATGCACAGAGAAAACTTACACCGTGTCTCAACAAGATCTTCAACCCAGTCAAAACTTTGGTCCGACGTTAGGGCTGAAGAGAAAGTGCGGGGGCTAAGGCCAGCCTCCTGTGGCTGACCCTGATTTGTTCTGCAGCCCCACCTGGTCCCTCCAGCATCTCCAGTTACGCCTGGAGGCCCCAGCATGGCTGGGGTCGCCACACTGCAGGGCCTAAGCAGCACCACATCCTCAGGCCCTCATGGGAGCCAGGGCCAGACAGCTGGGCAGAGGCTCCCGAGTACCACTCGGAAGCTAGCCCCCTAACAAAACCACCCTAAACTTTCACTAGAGTCAATCATCTTGGAGATAATTGGTTCAGATTCCCTTAGTCGGAGCGAAGTCTCAAGCTTAAGTGTGCCATTTAATTCACTTAATGACTTTGGATAAGTGTCCTCTCTTAAAGGAAGGAGCCAGGATAATCCTTCATTTTTAGTATCAGCCCCTGATGAATTCAGTGTGTGGTGAGATGAGTTTTACTTTATATAAGATCGCTTTCCAGGGGCCAGCGTACTTACCTTGCTCATGGCCAACCCAGTTCCCTGGCCCCGTGTATGTTTCCCTGAGACCTGCTGGGAGTGATTCCTGAGCATAGAGCCAGGAGTAAGCCCAGAACAATGCCAGGTCTGGCCTGAAAATAAAGAAATAAATAAACCTTTTCAACCTTAAGTTCCAGGACAAGAGAGAGAACTTAATGAACAGAGTGTGTATTTGGCTTGCAGGAGGCCCATGTTCCATCCCTGACACCCCGTGGCCCCCTGAGCTCTGCTGGGAGTGACCACAGGGCTCTGAGTGCCAAATGCGGCCCCAAACCCAAACCAACCAACCCAACCAAAAAACTCCAAAGTGAAAGTTCCAGCATTTGAAAATGAAGGCATTTTAAAGATCTAAAAAAAAAAAAAAAAATTAGGCCAATCTCCTGGCTTCCAAGACTGACCCAGGAGAACATCTCCATCCGGCTGCTGAGTGCACAGACCTGCATACAGGGAGCTGCTCGTGCCTGCAGTGCTCTCTGGGGGGTGGGGAGGGTTGGGGCTGGGCTCCCAAACGGTGCTCAGGACCCTTCCAGTGATCCTCCACCCAGCTCGGGAGTTGTGGGATCCCTGCTGGGCTGTATTCCTGGGGGCTGATCCTCAGTATAGAGACCTCCTATAACTCCAGACTCTCCTCAAAGGAGCCATAGTCCTTCTTAGGTGTCTGTGGGGATTGTCAGGACCCCCATGCCAAGGCTGATGTGGGCGTGTCCTCTGGAGCCAGTGCTCTGCGTCCACTATTCGTGTCCTTGGGTTCAGCAGGCAGGGTCCAGTGCCTGAACACCGGAGGGGAGAAGCCTCAGGTGTGAGGACCAGGTGCACTGCTGGGTGGCCTACGTCAGTGGCCCCTGCTGCCCAGTTAGGCTGTGCAGGTCCCACTGTGCAGGCCTTGGCAGCAGCTTCTGTGAGCATCCACCAGAGGCGTGGGCTCACATCCCCCACAGGGCCCTGGGATCCTGCTGCCACGGCCGCTGGGGCGGGATGCTGCCCCGTGTGCAGAAGTGGCCTCAGGGCTCCGAGGCGCACTGTCAGCCCTCACACAGCCCATGAGGTGGGAGTTTGCATCCGGAGCTGTGTGGTTTTTATTCTCTTAGGAAGACAATCCTCAAGCCAGACAGCCAGCTGAAAGTCAATGTTGTCTAAAATTTCACTGTCTGGATAGTTCCCCTCCTGCCATTTGGAGCCCATTCTTTAGACGGTTTTTTAGACTTCATGTGTGTGTTGTAAGGTAAAGTAAAGTAAAGGCCCTCCTGTTGATCATCGATTTGCTCGAGCGGGCCCAGTAACGTCTCCATTGGAGACTTTGTTGTTACTGTGTCTGGCATATCGAATACGTCACGGGGATCTTGCCAGGCTCTGCCGTGCAGGCGAGATACTCTCGGTACTTGCCGGGCTCTCCGGGAGGGGCAGAGGAATCGAACTCATGTTCTGGCTAACCTGATGTTTTCACGAGGTAATACAGGGTTCCTTAGGGGAGATTTGTGTGTGATCCGGATGGAGTGTGTGGTATTTACTCAGCTATTTTATTTTAATTTTATTTTGGTTTGGGAGCCACACCCCATGGTGCTCAGGGCTTACTCTTGGCTCCATGTTCAGGAATTACTCCTGGTAGGACTCAAAAGACCATATGTGGTGCAAAGGATTAAACGTGGGTTGGCTGCATGCAAGGCAAGTACTGTATCCACTGTACTATTTGTATTTTTAAATTTTGGTTTGGAGGCCTTACTCAGCATACTCAGGAGCCACGGCTGCTTGGTGCTCAGGACCCTAACAGTGATGAGGGGTCACTCCTGGCAGTGTGGTGTGGGGATGAACCCAGCCACTGACTCACTCACTTCTCTCCAGGCCCCTTCCCAGTTTGACTCTAACATCCAAGAGGCCAGCTTGCCTTGTGTGGCTGATTCTGATTAGTTCCACGGCACCTCATGGTCCTGCAAGCATCCTCAGGTGTAAGCCTGCAAGACCCCCTAATCACTGGGATCCCCACCGTGCATCATTTCTATGAATTTTGGTAGTTTGGCCCGTTTACCATCTCAAAGCAAAATAGCAATGGCTATTTTTCCCCCCTTATGGCTGTATTTTAATTATTCAGATTGCTTTTCCTAAAATTGGCCTACTAGAGGGGATCCATCTCTGGGAGATCCCCACCTGGTGTGCTCCACCCAACTTCGAACAAGAGGCTGAGCTCTGGGTGGCAACACCAGGTGACGCTGTGTGGAACCTCTCAGATGCTGTGTGGTGGCTGCTGGGCCCGCCCACCCTCGAAGCTCGTCCTGGTGTCCCACAGGCTGTCCTTGCCGGTGTCCCCGGCTGCCGTCTTGCAGCTCTCCAGGGATGGTAATTTTTCAATCGTCTCAGCAGCCTGTTGCCAGGCTTAATCGTGCCTATAATGACGTTGCCTAATGTGTGAGCTAAAAATAAATCCCGGCTGTTGCTTCCGCCTCTTGCTGTTGGTTCTGCTTCAGTAACAGCTGGAGTTCAGCACGTTGGATCAGCTCTTAGCGTTGGGGGAACCTGCAGCCCTTCTCCCCGGCTCTCCTCACTCAAACAAACTGAATCACTTTGGGTTCTGATTCGAAACTATAAAGACATTGATTCCTGCGTCCTGGCATGTGGTGTTGGTGGGGGTAATGCTCACCTCAATTCTTAGCATGTGCTAATTGCTTGGTCCTTGTTTATTGCTGGGCAGATGCGGTCACTCTGTGTAGCAAACCCAGCCAAATAATGCGCTATTTACTGTCCAATACTAATAGGTGTGGTATTTGCAGTACAGGTTTCTACTCTTGAAGAATCACTTTCCTTTCTGAGCACTGGTAGTGTAAAAAGATTCTCTCCTCATCATTTTCATATAAGAGTGTGTTCATTCATTAGTTCATAAGTAATCAACCATAAATAATAATATTCCACATTTATTTTAATGGAACATAGTGCTTCTGTTTAAAAAGAAATAGTTTTAAAAAAACAACTAATCCTTCTCACCCCATCAAAAAATGGAAAGAACTTACTAGACAGTTCGTCAGAGAAGACAATGGGTGCAGCAGGGAGAGCATGATCCTCGCAAGCAGCTGCTTTGACCAGTCCTGGCTTCAGTCCCTGGCACCTCACATGGTCCCCTGAGTGCTTCCAGGGGTCACTCCTGAGCATAGAGGTGGGATGGACACCCCTGAGCAGCACCAGAGGTGGCTGCAACAGCCCATTCTCCCCCACCACACACAGAAGACATACAGGGGTCCAGCAGCAGATGGAGTTCATTAGCACTGGGAGATGCTGATTACAATAGCAATGACACTTCCCCTCACACTGGTGAGGAGGGCCTCTACCAGCACAGCTCAGACAACTAGTGCGGTGGGGCTGTGGTGAGAAGGGCCCCTCATTCACTGGTATTGAGAGTGAGGATGGAGCAGCCTCCATGGAAAGCAGAGTGGAACCCTCCCCCAGCCACCGCTGACTCCCCCGCCGGCCCTGCCCTACTATTCCCCACTGAATCTCCCAGGAGATGCCCGCCAGCAGCCAGCGCTCTTGGAAACCCGGGTCCCCACGATGAAGCCTGGGGTGCCCTCGGGAGGTGGGTGGTCAGTACCTCCCTTGCCAAAGCCTGCAGCTGCACCCACGTCCTACTGCAGCACACAGGAGCTCAACTCCAGTGATTCACAATATTCTCTGCGGAGACACCAAACTGCAAATGATTTTAGGTTCCTGGTGCCCAGGCTGGGAACTCTGGTGTTCCTGAGTCGGAGTGGGCAGCCTCCCCTGCCCACCATACTTTCGGAAGCCCCTGCAGCCTCACCCACCGCCCACAGACACCACCATGTCGACTCACTGGCCCAGACCACAGATCTTGACGTCTCTGGACACCTTTTAATTCCTCAATCCTGAAATCCCAGTAGGAGCACACCAAATTAGATGGGATAGTAACATAGAAGCCAACTAAACTCAACAAAAACAATAACACAGATGACTCAGCTAGCAAGAAACAGCTTAATAGATTCTTAGACAAAGACATAACAACCCTGTGA